GCGCGCCCCAGCCCACGCCCTTCAGCGGGGCAGCTCCGGGAGGCCCGCGGCCCGGCTGACGGCCCTTTGCCCTGTCCCCAGATCTTCCAAGAGCACCCCCTCCACGGCTGTGCAGTCCCCAATGCCTCCGAGGCCGAGCGTGGCGGGGGCGGCGAGAACGCTGCGTGGGGCGCCGTGGACGTCACGCCCGGCCTGGGCAACAGCAGCGCGGCCCGGCAGCCCGGGCAGGCGCGGCCCCGGGACCAGCCCAACACGGCCCTGCTGTCCCTGGTGCTCATGGCCGGCACCTTCTTCATCGCCTTCTTCCTGCGCAAGTTCAAGAACAGCCGCTTCTTCCCCGGCCGTGTGCGTGGCTGCGGGGCCGGGGGTGGGGCGGGAGCAGGCACGGGCAGGGGGTGACTGGGAGTCAGGGGTGGGGGGCCTCTAAGTCTGGTGCATGCCCACAGGTGCGGCGGGTGATTGGGGACTTTGGGGTGCCCATCGCCATCCTCATCATGGTGCTTGTGGATTACAGTATCGAGGACACTTACACCCAGGTAAGGGGCGCAGGGGCAGCGCGGCGGTGCTGCCTGGGGGCGGCCCTGGGTACCCCCTCCGGTTCTCCAGGCTGAGCCAGGGATAACTGGCAGATCCAGGCCTGTCCCCGGCACGTCCTCAACCTTCACCCTGCCTGATGCAGCGGGGGGCTCCTCTGGGCTCACACCCGTTCCCCCCGGCCCCCCGCAGAAACTGAGTGTGCCCAGTGGGTTCTCGGTGACAGCCCCAGAAAAACGGGGCTGGGTCATCAACCCCCTGGGGGAGAACAGTGCCTTTCCGGTGTGGATGATGGTCGCCAGCTTGCTGCCCGCCATCCTGGTCTTCATCCTCATCTTCATGGAGACACAGATCACCACGTGAGTGGTCCGGGCCTGCACCGGGCTGGGGGGCGCCACTTCCGGGGTGCCCGGCCGGCCGCTGGCTTATTCCGTAGACGAAACATCCCCCCGGTGTTGGCTGAGAGGGTCCGGGGTGAGCCGGGAGCCTTCCTGGGGGCAGGCGGGCAGGCGGGCACCCCGCAAGGGCCGAGGCCCCGGCTCCGGGAGGGCTCACGGCGCCGCCCCCCAGGCTGATCATCTCCAAGAAGGAGCGCATGCTGCAGAAGGGCTCCGGCTTCCACCTGGACCTGCTGCTCATTGTGGCCATGGGCGGCATCTGCGCGCTCTTCGGCCTGCCCTGGCTGGCGGCGGCCACGGTGCGCTCCGTCACGCACGCCAACGCGCTCACCGTCATGAGCAAGGCCGTGGCCCCCGGGGACAAGCCCAAGATCCAGGAGGTCAAGGAGCAGCGGGTGACAGGGCTGCTGGTCGCCCTGCTCGTGGGTACGTCGGCGCGCGGCCCCCCGCCCCCGCCCGCCGGGCCGAGCCTGAGGCGGCGCTCTCCCCACAGGCCTGTCCATAGTCATCGGCGACCTGCTGCGGCTCATCCCCCTGGCCGTGCTCTTCGGCATTTTCCTGTACATGGGCGTCACCTCCCTCAACGGGATCCAGTTCTACGAGCGCCTGCACCTGCTGCTCATGCCGGCCAAGCACCACCCGGACGTCACTTACGTCAAGAAGGTGAGACCTGCCCCGCGCCCCCAGCCGGCCTCCGCCGGGGGTCCGGTCCGGCTGACCCGGCCGCGGGCCGTCTCTGCCCGCCCCAGGTGCGGACCCTGCGGATGCACCTGTTCACGGCGCTGCAGCTGCTCTGCCTGGCCCTGCTCTGGGCCGTCATGTCCACAGCCGCGTCCCTGGCCTTCCCCTTCATCCTCATCCTCACGGTGCCGCTCCGCATGGCGGTGCTCTCCCGCATCT